AATTTGATTTGGTTCACGACCAATTCGGTTCGCGACCAGAGTCGCGGAATGAATTAAGTTCGTGAATCGAGGTACCACTGTATTAGATTGGGAAGAGCATAAAAGGATAACTCATGCCTAAGACACTTCAGCTATCCAAAATGGGCAGCCCGGTCCTTTCTCATTTGCATATGATTCAAACAGACCTCTTACGCAAATGCCTTATAAGCCCTGATAGAGAAATTGTTATTCATCTGATTTGTGAATGCTATGCTATGCTACACTAATTTTCATCAGCAGGAAAGTCTGACGGTATTCTTAATAATCTCTAATTGTGTTTGGTGAACCGTTACACTAATGACTGAACTAATGCAGAGATGTGCAAGGGGATTTTTGGATCCAGACTCACAACCAGCTTACGCCTATGCAAATTATCATTTTCATCTTCAACACTCTTAAAACTCCACTCTGGAAAAACTGATTTAGTAGCGGTTCCCTTCATTCATTTTTCTCTCCCCTACTCCCCCACTTACACTCTTCTTGGCAGCAGTTATCACACATTTTATTACAATTGGCAGAATCCCAGGCCTCATCAAAGTGATGAGCAATCTGGACTCGGCGGCACCTGCAGCAGAAATACCAAAGTCAGAAGCAAACAATGGGTGTGTTCGCTCCACCACCCACAGACTACCAGTCTTTAAAGTATTGGACAGAAGAATGTTGAATGAGAAGGACTGCAGATAAACCACGCACTGAATCCAAAAGTGAACTGCTGAAAACGGGCTGCCAACAAAGAAGCCTCCATTCCTATTTCAGTTGCATCTGTTGACTAAATCTTCACACCCACTTGTCTGTCTGGAATTCTTTTTCTTTCAACAATTTAGATCAATACAGGGCCTTAGGCACGTGCATGAATCCCACATATTGGTCACATGACCGTGAGCTGTGATTACGGGAGAGCGAAGATTCCCATTTTAAGTGCACCACTCTCCAGATGGAATTACATGGGATTAAGCATGAACTGGCGCATGGATACACCTTTGGATACTACCAAAGTTGGATGAAGGGTAGATGCAAAAAGTGCCATCGCATTAATACAAAAAGTTTGTTTCACTGGAAGAACTGTCTTCCTATCAAAACTAGGGTATGTACTGGTTAAATTTACATTCTTCAGGAGCTTACGGCAATATACTTAGCACATGTTCCTCCATTTTTTCCCCTTTAATATAAATCCTATGAGGCAGACTGGGCTAAGGGATGATGAGTGGAATGTCACCCAGTGAGTTTCCCCAATCAAGGGTGTATCTGAATTTGGGTCCCTTTGGTCTTAGTCCAGCACCTTAAGTATTTCATAACGCAGCATCTCCGCACTAGCTCTACACACAACCTTGAAAGCTTATGAAGGCGGTCTTTGCAAATCATGATTTTGCAAAGCAGGGCCTAGCCCCTGATCCTTCCACATCTCTCTTCCTTACCCACCTTTGAGTACTAGATCTGTACCATAATTCCCTTTAACTTGCATGTTTTACAATCTCGGTTAACAGGGATTCTGCCTTAACATTAGCCATGCTTAGCAACCCTGCAGGAATTATGCAAGATCAAGTTTCAGGATGACAAAGGAGAAGAGGGGAAGGAAAGAAGTATGCATTTCTAAGGCTAGAAGAGGACAACCAGCAGCAAGGTGGGTGGATCTCAGTTACAGTGGTGATGAGTGCACCACTGGAAGACCTGAAAGACCAGGTTAGGGACAGACTGTCATGGAGAAAATCTATCTGTATGGTTGCTAGGAGTCGAAAATGACTTGATGGTACATAATCAATCAATCAATTTATGCATAATGATTTGCCTGGTCCAACAATAGATCCAAACTGACTCACACTGATCTGGGAAACAACATGCTTATTGATAAGGGAAGAGAGAGTAACCGTTTTTTTCAAGCTGAAACTGGCTTATTTGAACTCACACATTGTGGTAAGCTGTAATGTGATTTGATTTTCAATTAGCTCATCCTCTGAACCCAATCACTGTGTTTTGTAAACCATGCTTTATCCCCAAGATATATAAATCCAGCCAACAGTGCCTTATTCAACACAGGCTAAAAATTATGGTTTTGCATGAGGTGTGAACCCAACCAGTCCAAACTTTATACGGCCGAGAAGGGGACCTCAAAAACATCTACAACCATTGAAGGAATATGAATTTAAAGAAAAAAACAGTTTGGAGGGCAGATAAAAATTCTATCAACAGCAAGAAGATGTATAAGAAGTAACACATTCCCTGCCAGCCAACCAACCCAGTTACCTTTTCAGTAAAACAACGGAACATATAACTGAACAAATTCTACACAAACTTCACCAGCAACATTTGGACAGTAATTTCAACCCACAAAGTACCTGTCAGCCCCATCAGTCACAAAAACCACTTGCCTTCTCATATCGTGACAGTAGGAAACCATGTCATACAGTTTCCGTTGCCCCACATTTTCCATCACCACCATAGTGCTGATTCTGAATATGTCTCCAAAGCCATAATATAAGATGCAATCAGCTCTCTGGTCATCCCGACCTGGAATGTTTTTTTTTTTAAAATAAATAAATAAAGATAAATTTTCACCCACAGCTAGGAAACACAAATCTCTCCCCAGAATACATCCTCAATTAAGTATACCTGCACGCCCGCTCTCCTGGTAGTAATTTTCCATGGATTTACTCATTGAATGATGTATTACGAACCTCACATCTGGCTTATCGATTCCCATACCAAAGGCAACAGTGGCCACAACAACCTGAAACATAAAGGCAACGAAAATCAGGACATAAGTCATCCAAGTTGAATTAAAAAAAACCTTCTGTATCACAGACTCCACCTGGATTTCGTTGGCACACCACCGCTTGTGAACTCTGCTCTTATCTTTGGGCTCCATATTGGCGTGGTAAGTACCTGCTTTAATCCCCAACTTGTGTAAATTCATAGTAACTTGTTCAGCATCTTTCTGGGAAAAGCAGTAGATAATTCCTGTATCAACAAAATAAGTAAGACTAAATATAAGCAAAGGACAGGGGCATTTAACTCATATAGCATAGTGGCACTCAGAAGGGATAAGAAAACGTTCCGTTTGGTGAACCGAACAGTTGGTTTTGGGTGGTTCATGCTTGAACTGAAACACACACGAGGCTGATATGGGCCGAACCTTGGCTGTTCCTGGGAGAAGGACTTCCAGGGGGCAGAGGGGAGAGGCAGGGAAGGCTTAATAGCAGAAAAGAGCCAAGGCTGAGGGGTTTCCTTGATCACAACCATGGCAGCAGTGGATGAGGGGAAGTGAGGGGAGGGAGCGGTGAAAGCACTGAAAGAGAAGAGGCAAGTAGGCCACTGGGATTTGCTATGATGGGACGCTGGTGGTGGCAGCTGACGGGAGGGAGGAAAGAGGAGCGCTAGGAAGATGGAAGGGGCAGCTCTGGCTTTTTGTCCTATAAAATCACTCCACCATTGCTGACAATTTTGCTTCAGCTCAAACCCAGAGCAAAAAAATTCCACAGCAGGTCCTTAACTTCCAGAAGGCAATGTGTTTGTTTGGTTAGGTTCAAAACAAAACACATTTTCTATTTTGTGCATGCCCTTAGTACTCAGATAAGGTGTGGGAAGAGGCTAACAATGGTGCTCCCTCAAAGATGCTAACATGTTCTAGGAAGGGAGTCTTTAGAGTGGTCACCTGAAAGGCCTTTGTATCTTCCACTGATGAGTTTCACAATATCCTCAATGCAATTCTGAGCAGATGATGGCTTCTGACGAACCTAAAATGATTTAAAGGCATTCAAAAATCCCTTCTTTTAAGTCATTTAAGCCTTATATAAATTTAAAATTAGAAACAGTCTTTCAGTAAGGAATGCTGAGGCCACCTTTATCCAATGTTCTAAGTCAGTATTTTTCAACCTTGGCAACTAAGATGTGTAGACTTCAATTCCCAGAATTCCCCAGCCAACAGGCTGGCTGGGGAATTCTGGGAATTGAAGTCCACACATCTTGAAGTTGCCAAGATTCTAAAGCACTGTTCTAAGTAAATAAAATAAGAGCAATGAAAGCAGAAAGGACAAATTATATAATGATCTCCAGATTTGAGATCCAGCCTGGACATTCTTCCAGAAGACATACAGGTGGTGATGTTGTACTTTACAACCGCATCACTTAGCAACGGAAAGTCACTCTCTGGGGGAGATGGCAGCGTACAAATTTAATAAATAAATAAATTCTGCTCCCGATTGTGGTTGTAAATCGAGGACTACCTGTAAGGGCAAATTAGAATAGATTTTAGTAGTCTGAAAAAGGGTGGGGAACTAACATAACAGAAATACCTCATAATAAAGATTGGGCCGGTTGAAGGATGCTGTGAAGGTGATGCACTTTTGCACGCAAAGGATGTTCTGTGCATCACGTAGCACATGTCCTGTTGCAGTCGCAGTCAATCCAATCAATGGAGCATTGGGAAATTGCCGTTTTAAGATCCCAAGCAATTTGTAATCTGGATGTATGTGAAAGAGAAGAGCAGAGATGTTACATGATAAGAGTTCCTAATGTTTACCACCATTATATTCCTCTAAATATACACAAGTTTGGTGTAGTGGTTTAAGGCACCCGGCTAGAAATCAGGAGACTGCACAAAACTAGTTGGGTGACTTTGGGCCAGTCCCTCTCACTCAGCCCTAGGAAGAAGAAAGCAGTGGCAAACCACTTCTGAAAATGTTGCCAAAAAAATTGGCCTTGTCCAGGCAGTCGCCAGGAGTAAAAACTGACTTGAAAGTATACATAAAATAATGTTTAAAACTTAGGTTACTAAGTTTTCATTTCAAGAGACAATAACTCTCTCTTAGTAATAAAAAACTTTCCAAAGCTTGGGTTCTGGGGAATCTTATTTCCCTTCCCATCCCCTAAATAAGATCAGTAATAACAGACATGTTTTTCCAGAACATTTGTTATTTGCTATTACTATCAATCTGCAGTTCTGTATGGCAAGCACTGAACGTGACATAATATTCATAATCATTTCATACAGGTGGGGGAAAGACCCAAATAAGCCTAACCAGCATTTTAGAATTCCCTGAAACATCAAAAAGATTTCCACATCAGGTAGGATGATATACTAGAAAATAAAACTAGATGTCTTCTTAATGGAAACCATCTGAATTTAAAATGCCTTTTTTCTGTCTGCATCAGTATTCAGATTTCAACTGCTTCATGCAATATTATTTGGTCTCTCTTCAGATTGTATAAATCTTTCATCTTTTAAGAAGGATTATTGGTAAGCCACAATTCATTGTAGCAAGTTCTCCAGCAAGAATTAAAAGTGTACCAGCAACTGGGGAGACTGATTGTACAAGGAAGATCACTTCCAATAAAAAATACATTTTTCCATCATGGTGTTTCACAGAAACTAGTACAATATCCAAACGTTCATATTGAAAAGGGGGATAGAAATGTTACACCTATACAAGGAGCTGCTCACAATAGGACATAATCCAGCAACAGCATGAAGCTATTGAAACAGATGGTTAGTAGCACTTCCATTTCAACTGCACACAATTGAAGTGGATGACCCACAATCCATAGGCCGTTTGATATCCTTGTGTGTAAGCCTTTGGCCACAAAAAATTGTCTGCGGTCACTGTATTAGCTTAACTGTCCAACCAGACAATTCTTCAAGAGGACACAAGACTTCCCAGAAGCTTCTTCCTACCTGAACTTCAGGAAAATTTAAACACAAAATAAGTAGAAACATACTCAATAAGGTTATTGGGCCACTTCATTCAATAATCCCTAGAATAATTTGTTTAAGTTGTTTAAATTTGTTAATTTAATATACCAGGTCTGAAGTCATGCCCCCACTGGCTACAGCAATGGACTTCATCCACGGCAATCCGGGTCAGATGTCCTCCTTGGTAAGCTTTTTCTAGCTTTGACATAAACATCTTGCTTTTCGCTATCTTCTCTGGCGTCACATAAATAAGCTTTAGCTGGGAGTTCCGAGACAGCATTTCGGCATGAACCCACTTTACATGTTCCTGTGGGGGAAGAAAAAGAAAAAGAAGTCTTTCCTACTGCTGTTGTTCAAGTCCATTAGAAAATGCTAAGACTTGACTCAGTATGGGTCAGTCAATCCATCTCAGCAATCAGCCTTTGGCAAAGGCACAAACCACCTTAGATATTTCCAAATATCATTTTCTAATGTTTATGTTGTTGTTCTTCCTGACTGAGGTGCAGAAAATTGGGCACAGATGCACCATGCATCTGACTGTACTGGTAATGTGTTAAACCAGTGTTTTTCAAACTTGGCAACTTTAAGATGGGTTGACTTCAACTTCCAGAATCCCTCAGCCAGCATGGGTTGAAGTCTACCCATCTTAAAGTTGCCAAGTTTGAAAAACACTGTGTTAAACTGTGGTCCAAATATTCACCCAAAGTATGATAATCATTGTTTTGTTTTGTTTTTAACAAGTGCCTAATCCAAGTCTCTTTTTCAGAGAAGTGGTCCTTCACACCTACAACTGTCACACTGGACATCCTGGCTGAGGCTTTTGGGAGCCATTATAACACATAACAGAGAGCCATGGGTTCACAAGCAATCTCAATCACTTACGGCTGCTGCTTTCAAAAACAAACATCTCTGTTGGGGAGTCTATACAACAACACCCAAGCCTAGTAACTAGTTTGGCACCCAGCCATACCTTGCTGCTGGAAGCATTTAGTAAAGTTGCTGATATACCCAGCTGGTCTAACATCATTAGCTGATCCTCCATAAGGGAGATGAGAGGACAGATCACAAGTGTGAAGCCTGGAACAAAAGGATATCACATGACTCAGTCACTGGAGAAATATAATTTCTTTGTTGGCACATCTTCATTTAATAGAAAAATGTAATACTGAAGAAGGAAACCTGTTCAGTATTTATTCAAAAGGATGCTCATGTTTTAGAATCATATTTGTTGTTCTTGTTCAGAGACAGGAATGTCAAGAGCCACAACCTGCATATATTAGGAATGACTAAGGATATGTTTATTGCTAAACATGAATTGATTCCAATAACATAATGGTCACATTCACCCAACACACTAACCACAGTGGGAATAGCTTGAATTTAACTTATTGCTATCTCAGATTAATACCTAAGTTTCAATTTCAATAGAGGAATATAATACTGCAAATGTTGTACTATGTCTATACCTACAAAGATCAGAATCGTGCAGGCAATGGTTTTTCTATGGTAGCAAAAGTTAGACTTTGAAGAAACAGGGTAGGATAGTATTGACGCTTTTGAACTCGGGTGGTGGTTGAGAATACTATGGATAGCCAAGAAGATAAACAATGGATTATAGAACAAATCAATCCACAGTTCTCTCATGAGGCATAAATGACCAGGCACAAATTATCATGTTTTGGGCATATTAGGCAAAGACCTAGCTCTCTTGTTAAGCATATAATACTGGGAAAGATGGAAGGAAAGAGAAGAGGACGACAGCAGCAAAGTAGATGGACTTGATTACATTGGTGATGGGTGCCCTGTTGGAAGACTTGAAGGATCTGGTTGAGGACAAATAATCCTGGAGAAGGTCTACCTATGTGATGACACCAATTTGCAGGCAAATAATCGATCAATACTGTAGAAAAAAGGCTATTAAAAATTTCTTCAAAAGGACTCTGTTTTGGAATCATATCTCCTGTTCTTTTTCTGAGATAAGAATGTCAAGAGCCACAGTTCACGTAGTTAAACAAGATGCGTATAATTAAGGATATGTTTATTGCTAAATATGAACTTTTCCCGGTCCTTAGACTAAGATTCCAAACCAAATAATGGCCACACTCATACAACACATTAATCCACAACAGGAATAGCTCAGATCTCTCCTCCTCTTCAGCATTATATCTACAGATCTATAGTTCTGTGGCTTACAGGTAGTCCTCGGCTTATGTCTGTTCATTCAGCAACCGTTCAAAGTTACGGCAGTGCTGAAAAAATGGACTTATGACTGGTCCTCTAAGTTCCGCCCATCGTAGTGTCTCCACAGTCACGTGATCGCAATCCAGGTGCTCAAATGCCCAGCTCACAATTACGACATCATATGATCACCATTTGAGACCTTCCCTGCCAGCTTCCCACAAGCAAAGTCAATGGGGAAGGTGGCAGGGAAGGCTGCAAGTTGCCCCAGTAAGTTGCTCCTGCCACTTTTTCTCCCAAAGAGCCTGCTACAGAGTATGACATCCCAGGGATCTTGTACTCTGTAGCATTCCCCATCCTCCTGCAGCCACCACCAGCCCTCCCACAGCCCCCAGCGCCCACCTGTGGCACCCTGCCGCACTCTTTACCTAGAACTCCTGCTTCTTCCCACTTAACAACCTGTGCATCCTAAGGTTACAATGGCAACTGGGACTGCCGGGATTGCCATCGCTAAGTGGTCATGTGATGTCACACTTTACGACTGCATCGTTTAATGATGGCTATCCCAGTCCCAATTGCCATCATAACCCAAGAGCCACCTGTATTTAAAAGTCTGGTAATGGCATCCAAACACCTCAAATATTTCAAAATATAGGTGGTCCTTGCTTAACGACCACTCATTCAGTGACCATTCGAACTTATGACAATGCTGAATGAATGGTACTTATGACAAGTTCTCATAGTTGCGGCCATCAAAGCATCCCCACAGTCACATGATCATCATTTGCGACCTTCACTGCCAGCTTCCAACAAGCAAAGTCAATGGGGAAGCCGGCAGGAGGTCACTATGGTGACCACATGACCTTGTTCTTAAAGAAGGCTCGGGAATCACTTAACGACAGCAACCAGAAGTGCTGTAACTGCGTTGCTAAGCAGCACAGTTACGTGATGTTGCACTTCACGACTGTGTTGTTTAGAGATGGAAATTCCAGTCCCAATTGCTGACTTTAACCGAGGGCTACCTGTATTCTATGCTGTAATTCTTCCCTACTGAACTGCATGAAATTGGGCACAAATGTCTGTAATGTGAATGTTCCTCATCCTGGAGATTATTCCCTTCTTAATAGATGAACATTGTGTATCCATATATGTCTGCATATACATGTACATGTCTGAAGCCACGCTACAACCAAAAGGCAGGGACAAGACAAAAAACGTGAATAACTACCAATCAAAGTTTATTGCCTGTAGAATAAGGTGCACTTTCAAAAATATTGATCCCCAACTGCACCTGCCAATCATTCTCTCTAAAACACACAAGACTGTCACGTATAGAAACTCACAGTGCACATATAACCCTTCCCTTTCCTCTTCCTCTTTCAGAAGGAACAGTAAAATAGAACCTCTCCCCCCAAAAAACCAGGTGGTGATTGGGAAAAGAAAAAGGAGAGAACAAAACTGGATGAAGATGAAGCAATAGGAAGAAGAACGAGTTGTCCTATTTTGCTGTTCAAAAAGGCTTAAACTGACTAGCCAAGCAGCCATTAACCTTAAAGCTAAGCATTAAAAGCAACTATTACTTTTTGGCAAGAATGCTTGCAGTCATTTATACCTCTTACCCATTATTTTGTTTTCTTTTAATCTTATCAGCAGATGGAAGTTAATTCCCTTAAATAACTATTTGGGAGGAAAAATGTCTTTCTATCTATCTGCCCCAACTTATCGGAAGAGCATTAGGTTGGGAATGGCTGTTAGAACATTATCCAAAATGAATCCATTATTTGTTACTGACTTCAGCCAATAACAGTTGCTTGACTTACAAAGCCCAGGTACTTACCCTGAGAACATTCTGCTGGCAACTGATAACACAGACTCTTTCCCCCTCCAGTGGGCATGACAAGGAATACATCTCTTCCTGCCATTGTTGCATTAATTGTCTCCAATTGCAAGAGCCTAAATTTCTGGAGGCCAAAGTTCTTTTGTAACACATCCTTAATCTTTGTGGACCATGGAAAGTCTGGGAAAAGAACATTTAAAAACAAGTCTGAGGTTCATTTGAGAACAGAAAGACAGTTAAAGAGCTTTTTCTGCAAAGGGACAACAGTGAATCAAGTTTTCTAAAGTAACTTCGAACTCCCCAAACTGAAAGTACTGTACTGTACTGGGATGGACCACTCAGTTGGAAAGCCTCAGCCAGAAAACAAGGTGTAGAACTATTTGCTTTTCCACCTCCATTTTTCTCTCCTCTACAACCAATATACTCATTGTGCAGTAGAAACAAGAATCAAAGGCCAGCATGCTAAGATCCTTTTGAGAAACCAAAGGTAATTCTCCATTCTGAAGTCAACTATGAAAAAGTCAACTAAAGCCAAGTTCTTTTGATCTAAATGAACATCAAACTGGTGATTATTTGTGTGTCAAAATGTTGTGACAGCTTAACATACCAGTGAAGAATCTGTCCCAAATTTAGATTCATCTGAAGCAATAAGAGACTGAACTATGCATGAACTATGGATATGCACAATGTGCAGTATAGGAATTGTGCTGCTTCCATCTCATTTAATTGAAAAACAGATGTACATAAAATTAACAGCCTTTGTATTTAATAGTGGTGATAATCTTTTGAATACTGAATATGTTAATTAGATCACTGTTTGACTTAAATGACATTATAAAGACTCAACAAAAATTGAGCCTGAACTTGGAGACCTTCTTTGTTCCAGTCCTCAGCTGTTGATTCAGTATCTTTGCTACTCCCACTTTCTGTGCCAGAAAACTGTGTTATTTTCTTCTTCAAGATGGTCTTCTTTTGAATAAGTTGCTGCTGATGTTCAAGAAGATCTTGAATCTGGATTTCCAATGCCTGCAGTTCATTGTCAACAGACACCAGTTCCTCCTGCAGCACTGGAATAGAGAAAATGTCACAGCATACATTGCAGCCTTTTTTCCACTTGTAGTGGGCAATTAATCCACCCCAGTTTCAATGCAAGGAATTATCATGCTTTTTTCTTTCTCTCATACTTGCTCCAACCAAGCTTCCAACTAGCTCTGAAGAAATGTTCCATATGACTAAACCCGTTAATCCTGATTTCTAGTAAGGCTTCTTCTCCCCAAACTAAAAGCTAATTTCAGTCTTGTTATTTCACATTCTGTTTTATGAAGTTTGGTCCAAATCCCAAAGAATAATGAAATGTATCCATGCATACAGTTATGGCATTCCCATTTCTTTTCTGAATAAAAAACCATATAGGCTGTTGCTAATAGTACCAAATAAACTGTCTTGGAAGAATGACTTACCTGAAAGAGTTGTTGACATCTTCTTTAAAGTTCTGAAGTGCTTAACAGGCAAATATTGATCAAACCAATCCTCCAATAGTTTCTTCCTGAAAAAATAAGTTGACTGAATGCCTTCTACATAAGGAGAGAATAGTCTTTTTGTGGGTCAGGGCTTTTTAAAAACTGGTATCTACTGATCATAGGAGTATGGTCAGCGATATGATGGTATCAACAAGTGTCTGAGTTCAAAATGTTCAGCCTTTGGGATGTGAATTGTTGAGAGAAGTCATCTATTTTGCCTTTTAAAATTCCCCCCAAATGTAACAGACTACATAAAACTTACACGGGAAAACAACATTTCTATCAGTGCTGGAAAGAATCAAAATTTTACTCTAATATCCTGTAATTATACTGGATTATGCTCACTATATATTTTATGTTAATATAGGAGGATGAATAAAAAGCCAGGTTTGAACTGAGGAGGTTTGTGTTTAAACCCTGTTCAATGGGCTTAGCATTCCCATCCCCACTTACAACTCATTAAACTCAGCAGGTTGACAGACATCATGTAGCACTTAGGATCTCCAACATGCCACTGGTCCTCAACTGACAAAAATCTTGTGAGGAATGAATACATTCTATTCTGCCCTGAACTCTGTGGAGGAGAACAATAATAGAATGTCATTAAGTAGCCTTTTGCATTTTAACAGTTTATTACATTACTCTACTATTGATAGACTAATTAGCTTCAGTTTTTTTTTTTCAATCCACAAATCTTAAACTAAAAACTAAGATCACGGTGCAAAGCCCATAAGAAAATACCCAAAAACTACAGTAATGTAATACTTTTATAAAGTAAGGGCCAACTAAAAAGTCATAAAATAGCAAACAAGCTTATGGTTTCTCCAGAACTATGCACCACCCTGAATATCAGGAAAAGCAGAGAAGGAGCAGAAGTTTAAAAAGCTGGCATGTCATCAGTGTTGGAAGAGATTGTTGATTGGACTGGATTAAATTCTTCTACGAGCTATGCAGGTTTCAATTATTTTTAGTGATGTTGGGACAAAGGCAGATGTAGAAGATAAGCAAGTCTTTATTTTTCAAAATATGAAATCCAACAGTTGATCTATTTCCTTTCTTTTATACAACCTACTGTTGCCACTAGAGAGCAGCATACAATTTGTTCAGTTCATCTTTTTGGATGAATTCTGGAAGTTGAATTCCATACATCTTCAAATTGCCAAGATTGAGAAACACTGCTATGGAGCTTCTTTGAGGGGGGGTGGGGGGGTACTTTCAAGTCAGCGTTGACTCCTGGCAACTGCCTGGACAAATCCCTGCAGTTTTCTTGGCAAGATTTCAGAACTGGTTTGCCATTGCCTGCTTCCAAGGCTGAGAAAGTGTGACTGGCCCAAAGTCACCCAGCTGGCTTTGTGCCTAAAGTGGGACTAGAACTCATAGTCTCCCAGTTTCTAGCCTGGTGCTTAACCACTACACCAAACTGGTTCTTTGCTATAGAGCATAGAAAGCATCAAAACAAAGACAAGCCAAAGTGAATAACAAAGATGCAGCCATTAGCACTTTGCAAAACAAAACCCTGTATTTCACTTAAGTATTAAATCTTAAAATAACTGTAGATTGCAGAGGGGACTTGCACAGAAGTCTGCCCTAACATTATATTCATCAGAGGAATTCCATCAAATCTCTCTGCCTTTTGAAGTTTCGTCCGTTCCCTTCCAAGAAACATTCACCTAATTACAACTCCTTTTTCAACATCACATGAAAGCTTTCTTAAACAATGCAATCTTATATGTCAAGTTTATTCCAGATAATTTCACAAGCAGAACCTCCTTCTCCAACACTAGCTTTCTATGTTGAGGAAAAAAATATGAAATACTGAAACTTCTGAATTCCCCACTCTGCCCATGCTCTGTAGTGGATCAGCTCAGATATAAATTTGGCATTTGAATGAGAGCTACAAAGCTCACAGCAACTACATCTGTGGAATTTCTGCTTGTTAGATAGCATTTCAAAGTAGAGGACCTGGCACTTCAACCATTACAAGAAGTCTTTACCATTGTCATTTTTACTATTTTCTATCTGCTTCCCCCTCAGAATGGAATTTCTACACAGAAATATGCTAACTAGATGAAGCTCCAACACCAGGTTTTTGCAGCACCAGTGCTATCTAGGAGTTTGCTTCCAAATGTGGCAGGCAAACAATTTTTCATGGACTTAATTTTTTTAACCATGTTAAGTTTACCAAATATCCTCTCCTGTAAAAAAAAAACGGCCCTACCATCTCCACTGACATCTCAGTATCACTACCAACCCTTTCAGAGAATTTTTAGTACTGGAATTCCTAGATAAGATATATCTCCCTTGAACAATCACTCCCTTCTGTCATAATTAGTGATAATGATATGGCCTGAGTTGCCATATCAGCCTCATGCAGGAAAAAAGAACAGAATTTTGTGAGATTACAATCACGTAGTAATAGATAACAAACGTATTTCATGTAATATTTGGTGGATGAGTCCCTAGAACAGCTTATCATACAAATATTTTCTTCAAGACAGGTGACGCCTTACAAATCTTAGTCATGGCTCTCTACACTCAGTTCCGATTCAAATCTGCACTCGTGACTTTGGCAACTAGCAAATATATTTAGTTTGGACAGAAAAAACAAATCACCACTTTCATCTCCCCTTTATTTCACCCCGGCAGGAACTCTGGCTGTTTGTACAACACCTTTATCCAGGTCCAAACCTAGCAGCTTTATTTGCACATCATGCTTAAACATGGTTAGATGGATTTGGGGAAAGCTGAGTAAGCAATGGTTAACTTAAGTTAAGCATGTTGTGTGAACACAGTCAGTGTTTCTGAATCAATAAGTATCTGGCTTTTCTGGATGATGCTCAGTAACACCCCTAGACGTGCAGGATGCAGTTTTTTCTCTCTCATTTGCAATGTGAGAAAATAACACTGGGTCACAGAGTGGCATAAACCCCTCCTCCTTTATTGCTTTTCCCTTGCAACATGGGATAGCAGCCCTGTCCTTAGTGCAAGACAGCCATCAACCAAGTCCCATTCCTTCAATCCAACCTACCTCACAGGGTTGTTGTGGGGGAAACGGGAGGAGGGAACCCTATGTTCACAGACTTGAAATCCTTGATGAAAGGATATAAATCCAACAAATACATATATCAGGTTCTTGTGGGGAAAAGGAATAAGATTAGATTAGCCTCAGCCAGTGTTTCTCAACCTTGGCCGCTTCAAGACGTATGGACTTCAATGCCCAGAATTCCCCAGCCACATTCTCCTGGGGAATTCTGGGATTTGGAAGTCCACACATCTTAAAGCAGCCGCTGGCCTAGACGACTATTATCGGCTTCCCTCTCAAACCCACCCTCCGGGACACAGGAACGCCTTGTAGGGCTGGGTCAGCCGCGGTATCTTTAGAGGGGCGGGAAAACAACACGGGGCCACACCGCAGGGTTGTTGTAGTTACCCATTCTCTCAGACCGCATACGTAACGTCCCTCCCCAGGCGGCGCTGGGCCTCGACCTACGCAACGCCCGACGCCTTCCCCTTCCCAAACTGACGAACCTCTCCCTCGCTTTCCCTTCCGCCCCGCTCAAGAAATTCCAGCCGGCATCTCAGCCCCGCCCCTTCCGTTCCCCGCCG